GTTGCAAGTCCAGGTTTTTTTTATATACGTCCGTGGTGTAAATGTCCAGTAAAGCTATGGTTTTTTAAAGAACTTTGAAAATGGAAAATCTTGAAAATCACCCGGTTTTACGTCATGCACCTTCAAATTACACACAGCAGCAAGTGGTTAATGACTCTGTACCATAAGATGTGTAAACCTACAACCATTTTCCATAGAGTAGCGGGAAGAATGCGGTAGAACACTACCTATTGGTAGTAATGGTTTATTTACAGTAGTCCGTAAAGTGGACAAGCCCTCAAGCTTTTATTGTGCCTGTTCCTCGTGTCCTTGTCAGGCCAGCATATTTTTATCTGTTGGATTACAAACTTACTAGTAGCATGAAATTGTGCAGGATTGGAGGGCAGAGGAAAAAATAAACTGCTTAAGTTCCATTTTCCCGTACAATTAACATAATTATTCAGGGTCAGAGGAGACAGAAATTGAATTTTCTTTTTGTCAAAAAAACTAAAACATAATCACACTTTTGGGAGAAACTCCGAGCTGGATTTTTGATGATGTTTTCCTGGACTGTTCCTCTTCATTTTGCCACAGATAACCTTGACCCCAAAATGCCTCTGAAACTGTTAATCACAGAGGGGAAAACGGTGTAGACGTGCGAGTCCACACAATGCCATTATACCCTACATTATGTGGACTTCTTTTGTACAGAGGTCCACCCTTTATATGCACACAGTTTGCTACTTGAGGAGGTAAATCAAGTGGGGTACCCTTATTTGAAGCAATGATATGCAGGCTGGCATAAGTCATGTCTGCATGTAATGTAACAACACACATGCCTACCTTGGAATGCTGACCATATTCTTCGCTTTGCCAGACTGGAGTGCCTTGTTCCATTCATCTTCCTGTCCTTTAATGGTATATTGACTCATATCCAGCAGTTTCAGTCTTTCCAATTCCTTCTTCTGTTTAGCTTTGATCTCACTGGCTGCTTCTTCCTATAAAATAAAATATTCTCCAATGTAAAACCGCTAAAAAAAGACTACATCAGAAATACACAAAGCATGTAAAACTGGAAAAGACAATTTAGAAAACCAAGTGATAATTAAAGTTACAATTACAAGTAAAAATTATAGCAATTACTACACCTCTGTAAATTATTTAGGCTGATACCATCAGATGGTACATGTCTGCCCGTTGAAGTTTCAGCTTGGTGAATATTATACTATATCCCTCGTGTTCACTTGACTCAAATTTTCCCATGAAAGATCTCTTTTTTTGGGTAGCTGCAAGGCCTGATTTTCAAAAAGTCAAAATATAGCGGCCAACTTTCCAAATACAGCCAAACACTACCAATACTGACTCGTGAGCATCACTGAATTGTCTTTTCACATTTCTTACTGCAGCTGATATCACAGAGTGGTATCAGTTGCAACTGTCCGTGTACAGTTGTCAAGTTCAAGTACAACACATAGTCTGCCTCCACAGACTTCTAGGGCATCTTGTGTGTCCAAATCTGTAGGACATCAGGTATCAGACTCTGGAGATATTTGGCAGTATAACCCACCAGCTGGCCCCTGCCAATACAGACTGCCAGAACCTTCGGACACATTCTCCTGCACTAAGTGGTTAAGTCCATCACTGTCAAATTTACATGTATAAAGAAATTGAGAGTCACTGCACAAAAATCACCAAATCAACAATCAACTTAGGGTACATTATCATGTGGCATCAGGTCATAGATCATCATTATAAATTGTTTACTTAGTTCCTATACTTGGCACAGCCTTACCAAATCCTGAGCCAGTGTTTGCTTAACTGGCTCCATTACGACCTCCTTGGCTGATGCTGTCATGATCTTGCCCTCAACCTCCTTCTCTAATATCCCACTGAACTCCTGGACGACTTTTCTGATGTTTCGATTGAAGAGTGCAAGGATCTGACTAGCTGGTAGGTCCAAATCTTTAGCTAAGCAGTCTACAGTCTTGTGCTGGAGTCCTAAACCTACAAAGATTGCCTTGAACAGAAAAAAATACAGCAGAAAGTCAATATCCCATTCAAAAGCTGATTGCTGGAGTGTACGCATCTCCAAGATAGGGGTACATGAAAATGAATGCGGAAATTTAAAAAATCAACTACAGTAATCTGTCCACTTAATGCTTTTACTGCAAAATGCCTTTTGTGATGTCACAGGTTAAAAAGCCATAATCTCCAAGGTTAAACGGATGTGAAAGAAGGCATGTACAGGGTACCTACATGTAGGTACCGGTACTCACCCATCGATGCCAAAACCCTTTCCTATTTTCTCAGGATGGGTACCAACTAAAAAACTTCCATGAATAAAATGTATATGAATTTTAAGGGTGAAGGGCAGAATTGCCAAGAAATCATCACGCCCCTGACAAAAACCAAGGCCCGCATTCATAACGGTGGTTCAGAGATTAACGGAGCTGCTTTCATCTCACACCCCACCTATTGTAATACCACACCTGTGATCAACAGGCCGAAGGATTTTCCTCTTCATGAGATGGCTGTGCTGCTGATGTACACTTACATGTCTAACATATAAACCTTGGTGGCCTATAATTGACATTTGTGCTGAAGTGGTAGTGCTAAGCGATATGAGTTCGGAGTATTTTTATTAAAAAATGAAACAATAAAACAATGTAAATGAGGATTATTTTATGTCGGTATCGTCGACAGAGCGAGAGGGGACCTGCACAGCACAGCAGCAGTTCTGTGACACATGTGGCAACTAGCGACCATGCACTAATGGTGCAGTTGATCGGCCTTTTATTGTATGGTAACCAATGCACTGAATGTATTAAAAATATGTATACACAAAAGAGCTAGAGAACCAGTTTAGTTTTTTATACCAATAAAATTTGCCATAGTGGTCACTTTGAGTATCGAAATTGCATTTAAATTAAAGCAAAATCAAATTCCTCAGCAATTCAGACAGATGTACACGTAGGAAGGATGTTTTGTTCACAAAAGCAATTTAGAATTAAGCATTTCTTTTCACAGGTATTCAGCCTGCCATTAAGGAGAAAAGGTTTCTTCATTCAAATAACAGAGAGAAATTTGTTCGAAAAAAGAGGGAATCATTTTTTTTAAAGAGCAAGCATTTTCTGCTGTTGAAAGGTCATAATATAGTCAGCCAGTCGAATGTATAATGGTTGGAGTACTTACACAGTAAAATCTAGAAAACTCAGACCTCTGGGAAATGGATCAAACATTCCAGATGTCCTACATGTAAATACATGCTTTTATTTCCTATTGAAATAAACCAGTGAATTACACTACGTTCGTGTGGCAAATCTTTTATAATAGTCATGTTTACAGTGTGATGTGCTGGGCAGTCGAGGTTTTTTCTACTTTAACTCCTGCCTTAAACTCCTGGCCTAAATCTTGTATTTGGTGATTACTTGTTGTATATGCACATAGCAATAAGCAAGCAAGCAACATCTGCTCAGAAATTATTTCAGAGAGTTAATTCTGAGTTCTCAATTTGAAAAGAAAAACCTGTATTCTCTACCACACATATTCACTGGATGACATCAACAGCACCCTCAGTTGTCCAGGAAAGCACAGATGTATAAGACTGTGTACGTTTCTAAGCACTTATGCTGAGGTGGTGTCAGATATTTTTCACACACTAAGGAAGTGTATGAAGTTGCAGAAAAAAAATTGTAAGAAAATATATTTTTAAGTGCCTACCCTGAGGAACTGTCGTACTGTTACTATTCACTGTTATTACGGTTACTATTGTCGTACTGTTACTATTCACTGTTATTACGGTTACTATTGTCGTACTGTTACTATGTTACTATTCAGTAGTGTTGTAGTCAAGACCACTTATGACCTTCACAAGACCAGCACAGGACCTCCAGTCTGAATTCAAGTCACAAGCCATTCAAATAAACTGAAACAAAAACATTCCTTTGTCATTTTTCACCCAGTTAACTGAGACTGGTCTTGTACATGGTCTTGTGTCTGGTCTTGTGTCTGGTCTCGTGTCTGGTCTCGACCACAACGCTACTATTCAGCATCATGGGCATTCACTCTGCTACGCAGTGAAGCAATGTACAGTACGTTTGAAATCACATCTTTTTTCCTGGTTTTGTCACAAGGTTCCACAATCATTTACAAATGCTCACAACTACCACTTTTGCATAATTATTATCTTTCTGTGGCAGAAAATAAAACTGAATTGAAGAGGAGAATCTTGTCCCTTGTGACTCAATCCATGAAACTGAAGCTGAACACAGAGTTGAAGCTGAGGTTATTGTGTCAAAATATGTGTTGCTCAATGACATCACAATCAATATCCTGAGGTTGTGCTGAAATTCAGAGTCCCAATCGTTCTGCCACTCAGGCTGAAACCACTGTTTTAATCATATTGCATGCTTATTTTTTTTTTCTCAATTTTTGGCTTATTGTGTGCTGGCCTTTTTAATAAATTATAGTTACTACTTTATGCAATGCGCTTACAAACAAGCGTGTCCTGGAGAAAGCGCAATATGAATTTTATTATTATTATTATTAGCGACTCTAACAGAAAGGAATTGACTACTTACTGACTGTACTGCAGAAAGATGAGCCCGTATCCTACCCAGACAGTGCAGCTTAGCAACAGTAGGCACTAAATCCATAATCAGGTGATAATCTGCCATGTTACGTGAGTACAGCTCCAGACGTTGCAGATCGTACTTACTGCAGTAAGATTCCAGCTCATCTGCTTGAAGTGCTTTTGTCATAAAAGCATTTGAATACCAAAGAGTCAGTGTTTTTTTCTTTTTCCTTCATCATACAGTCACTCAAATTCACCAAGATTTTTCTGGTCTATACTTCTTGGCTTCATTTATATCTTCTGCAATAATTTCTCTCAAAACTGTTTGGCTGCTCTGCCAGAAAAATCACTTGTTAGATATCCGTTGAGTTTATGTCCGAAACATTGACAGTTTTTCACTCTGACAAAATGGGTAACTTCAGTTCGGCTATGATGAGAATCAAAGAAAATTTTGATTTTTTAAATGCAAGAAAATTGAAGCCTGAGCTTATTGGACAACAAAACATTGTTTTCTGAGTTGAGCTAAATAAGGAAAGAATGGTGAAGAACTACAGAACTTTACAGAAATAGGGAGAATAAAATCAAATTTGGCACACAGGTAATCTACAAAATATTCCTCTGACTGTAACTGCTATAAATGGTGCCACTGAAATCCCAGTCCAATAATACATCACAGGATTCAGTGCAAGAGACTCCAGAGATGGATATTATCAATGCTTACGTTGCGTCTCTAGCTTGTAATCTTTGTGGTGCAATATACTCAAGGCCATGGAGGGTGGAAAGTTGCGGAATTGATAGGAGCACAACGACACAAATCGTCTTCGGAAATCTGATAAAACAACAACATGTTACTGTCATAATTCTGCATGTTGTCAATGGGCCACTATCAGAACCTTCAAGCTAAATTGAGGTAATATACATTTAATGAATATTAATAAGTTTAATGGCAAGAATAATTTTATGAGGTGACACACTGAATGTGCTATTCCATTCAATCCATCACAAAGAAATTCATCTGAACAAATGAATATTTTTAATTTGAGACTCACTTTGTATTATTGCCCTATATAATACAATCTGATCCACCCTTTAAGAAAAATGGAATATGAGCCCCACCTTCAGCCCAATAAATACGCCAAAGCTCACTGAAGCGCGTCTCTTTGTAGTGATATGGTGAGAAGTAAACTGGAACTAGCTGAGGCAAGCCAAATGGGTGGGTACAAGAGAGAAATCTCTGAGACCATTGGGAGAGACAATGAGTCTCTCCTCCTTAGGTCTCATACATGAATAATTCCAATTGTATGGCAGGTGAGTACATGTACCTTTACATAATTGGAAATTTTTGCCTCAGACATCAAGACTCACTTTATATGCTTCAAAGCAGAGCCGAAGCCAGGACATTAGCTAAAGATGCTTGAACTGAACTGAATTCCCATCCAATGAAGGTGTGCAGCAACTGGCTTCAGGATTTTTGTGAATCCTCGGGGAGTACTAGAAAAGCCAACTGCAAGGCAAGCAAACTGGAACATCTGATTTTTTTCCCAAATGCAACGTAGACACCTGCAGTGATCCTTGTGAATTGGTATCATGAAGTATGCATCCTTTGGTCCTATTGACCCCAGAAAACCCCCTTGATGTAACAGATCCTTTACCAATTTTATTCCCTCCACCCTGAAGTGCTGGTAAGCTATGAACGCATTCAGAGGAGGTAGGTTTATTATAGGTCAGAGTTCTCCTGATTTCTTGGGGATTATACATAGGGAAGAAATGCACTGGCCATCCACTGGTGCTTCCAGTGTAACAGCATCTTTCTGTAACAACTTCTAAGCTTGCGTGTGAACAATCTCCTCTTGTGTTGAAGAAACTAAATGAGTGACCGGTACTCTTTCCAGTAACTGAAGAAAAATCTATTCTGTGGCCTTGAACAGTCTGAAGAACCCAACTGTCTTGAGTGAAAGTTTACCAGTGATGAACAAAAAACATGAGACAACCTTTCTGAGCCAAACAATCTACTTTCTATGACTACTATCTACGACTTTTTTCACTGGTGAGGTGGTCTTAGGCTTGCTTGGAGCAGACAACGCAGGCTGGTTGAAATTCCTAAAGCTGGATGGATCACCACCTGAGTGCCCACTGCAAAAAGAGCATTACCCTGGGAATCATCTGTTAACTGCTGAGTAGTATGGGGAAAACCTTTCCCCCGTGGAAGAAAGACTTGACAAAGAAGCCCCTTTTGTGACCTTAGTTGCCAACTTACTGGCTCTCTCAGCCTTGTCTATGTCTTTCACAAGATTTAATCCATAGAAAACTCCATGGAAGGTACTTTCTTCTTCAGTGACTCAAATTGTCCGTCAACAAAATCATCAAAGGCACACTGATGAGCGAAAGTGAGGCTCTGACTTCTAGAACCCAAGAGAATCAAAGCTGAGGTGACATGATCTTTTACCATAGCCCTGCCAGCCTTATCGGGGCAGGATGAATCAACAAGGGCATCAAAAAGATGAACTAAAGGCAGTGCCGATTTCAGGAGATGACCACGGGCATCTTTCAGTCGGTCATCTTGTGCAACCAAGGAAGAACGAGCTTCTTTCAAGGTTGATGTCACCTGGCAGGGGAATTTCAGGTGCCTTGAAGAACTTCTCTTGCTCAGCTGGTATGAGATCGTCGGCCAATTCATCCTTCATTTTCTTGTGACCCAGTTTATTTGACTGAAGCACTTCCCACCATGACAAGACTTTGTCAGTAACTGGAGTACCAACTGACTTGTTGTGTGGGATGTGAAAGCCCTCTTAACTTTGCGGGATGCAGGAGTCATTGTTGACTCTGCTGAATCCAACTCAACAGTGTCGGATTGGGCTTGCTCGTTCATGTCCAAGGGTACCGGACTTGGTAGAGGCCATTGGGCTGCAGGACTAACGGGAGTAGCTGTTGGGTGGGTTGCCAGTGGCTGTTGTTGAAAGGGAAGCCAATGCTATGGCAGCAGGAAGCACAAACACGTACGGTTAGGTCGAAGTCGACACAGCAACATCTAGAGGGCTGGAATCTCCACCATGAAAAGCACTTGAGGTTGATTTGTCCTCAAGAACTGATGTCATTTTGGCCGTGAACTGCTTCACTTTCTTACTAGGCAACATTGGCATCATGAATGTATATACAATGTATGGAGAGTGGATCGTGGACTACATGCAACTGTTTCAGACCGTACCACATAAAACAAAGACACGCTCCAGTGGGATTTGAGCATATTCATTGGGCTGAGGCAGGGGCTCATTTGCATTCATGTCAATGTGGGGATATTCCATTTTTTAAAGGGTAAATCAGACCGTTTTATGTAGAGCAATAATACAAAGTGAGTTTTGATGACTACGATGAAATATAATTGTCTTGCATGGTTCTTATCTAACTCTGCACACTGCGTTATTTTTTCGCTAAAAGCAAAATGCACAGCTGCAAAATTAACTGTAAATTCAAAGGTGGCGCGTTTGTGTACATAAGCCTTCCCATGCGTCAAGTTTGATTGAAGATAAATTCATTATTATGCTCACACTAGTATAACACAAAAGAAAGTAATGCGTCTGTGTCCAGTCATACACGACTCGGAGTAGTATACATGTAGTACACATTATTCTGCGTTCCACTCGTGAGGTAACTAATATAGTCACAATAATCACCACTTGAGGTGTGATGGCCAATCAAAAAAATCAGATGATGGCATTTATTCAGGTATTGTATAATGAACAATATTTCATTAGCAACACATTCAAAACCAGACATATTTTTAATAGTCGAGGCAAGGAAACATATCAATTTACACACTAATAATATGCAAATGATTCGTAACACAAGCAAACAAATATTATTTATGAAGACGTAACTTGTAATTAACACTCTACAAATATTTTGAGGGAAAGCAAACAAATAAAAGTACATGTAGATGATACCAGAAGACAGAAAAGATATGATGAAGATGGCAAGGGAGGAAAGCAGTCGTTATAGAAGTAATTGGAAGGGGATGGTAGATAGGTCAGGATATAAAAGATGTAGATGACAAGCATTAGGGGAAGTACATGTAGACGGGATGGGTGGAGTGGAATATTGGCGAGAGTGGACATGTGCTTGATCACACTGAAGTTGTCTACTATTTAATAAAACAAACAGATAGGCATTAAAGACAAACTAGTATTATGTGTTATGTGTATTAATAGTATTATATTAAACTAGTATTATGTGTTAATAGTATTATATTAAACTAGTATTATGTGTTAATAGTATTATACTAAACTAGTATTATGTGTTAATAGTATTATATTAAACTCATATTATGTGTCCTACATATCTGTATGCATGTTCTAAATGTCAATTTCAGCAAACTATTTCTTCCACCAACCTTTGGAAAAAGCCATTAGCCATGATTCAGTATCTGGTTGAGGAGACATATCTTCATTTATGATCTTCAGCATAATGCAGGAATGTTCGCCAGTTAGCTCATTCTGTAATCGATGGAAGAATGCGGGGTCACTTATCAAGCACAAGACTCGGAAGCATCTGCTAAACGCACGTTTGATGACAACGTATATGCTCTACAGACAATCATTGGTGTCAAAGCTCACATGCCAACTGTGTATCCATGAATGCTGCCCACAGATGTACAAATAACTTGTGACAAGTGCAAAATGTTAGGCTTTGGTTTGAAATTTCTGCTTCCAAAGATTTAACAGAGGACAGTGTCACAGTGCTTCGTAAATGAAAGATATATCTATTAAGTTGAGATGCCACAATCATTAGCATCATTCATATGCCAAAGCAGAATTCATACAAATTATGTACCCTAAATTTACACATCTAACCTTCTCGTTATGATCTCTTCAAAGGAAATTATGCCCAGACATTTATTACCGTCAATGACTGATCATCACATCGGCTTTTTCTCTTTGCAGCTATGTGTGAATGAAACATTTTTTGCAGTGAAAATTTGAAAAAAAAATTCCGCAGAGCTAAACGTTTTACTTTACGGAGTAATATACGAAAGAGAAAATGGTTTTAAATTGTCTAAAGAACTGATGAATGATCACAGCGCCCTCCTGATCTGATAATGATAAAAAATAACAACTTTGATTGACTTTTACTAACTATGGAGGCAAAAAAATTCAAAAATTCAGAGCCAGAAAAATATGGCACACCTTCTATTTTGAGATTTCCAGAGCCGACCTTAGAACCCTTTTTCGTAGCTTTTTCCCCCAGAAATACAAGTAGGAAGAGAAGTATTGTTTATAGTACATGTACATACATCAATTACTCAAATGAAGGCCAATTATGTTCATTTGAATGACTGAAAATGTATGTCTCAGTGTATATTTTTCTCTGACTGAATCTCCACACCAAACTTATGAACAAAAAACTTGTTCCTTCTTTAAAAGAAACCACCTAGTGGATTTTTCTGAAGTATGGCTCTGCTGATACCCCATAAATTATAGTTTGCAGTACATGGGCAAATTATGGTGATGTAAGTTTTTCTACAGCGGATCCAACTAGTCTGCAGAAGATGGCATTTCTGTCACTTTGGTGACATCCGCTGTCCTTCAAAATTTTATTCCATCTAGGATTTCAATCAAACTTTCAACTAGACAAAGTAAAACTATGAAAAGTTAGTTTGTTTTAAGTTCAAACGCTGCTCAAAGTACTTTGTATCTGTGCGAATTATGGTTAATTGTGGGCACATGTTAAGTGCTGTGGAAACAAACCAATTTTTCTACTGTATTGACACCATGTTTCCCATAATTGTGTCAAATGGATGTTTTTGGTTTCTTGGTTGAAATAGTGAACAGGTCCCTGATAAATTGTTATAAGCAATAACAGAGAGCATCGAGGCTGGTTCATTCTTAGTGTAATTTCAAAGGTGAAATATGGACAAATGGTTTAATATGGATAAACTCTACAGCAAACATTGTAAGATGTCAGTTTCATTTAACACCTGCAATTATTTCGGCATTTTGTTTTTTTTATCAGACTGACCAAAGGTCCACAACTGACCAGCTCTCTGAGTTAACTACCGCCCACTCTTAATTAACTTTTATATTCTTTTTTCTACATCTTATCCAGTATCAAGCTGTGTACCCTTGCCTTAAACCCAATAGCTGATTACTTTGATTGTTCAATGGTAACGATTCCTACTTGAGACAATGTATCAATGTTTTCATGCTTGTGCTCCATTGAAAAGTATTCCGTACAAGCAACATGCGGAAGAACAATGACAATTTCTACTAATGATCATAGTTTTAGGGTTTAATAAACAGAACTTACGGGTGTCTGCCTAAGATAAACAGGTACAAATCCAGCTTTCTTCCAAAACCTGTAAAGGCAAATAAGTAACTATATTATTGCTAGTATTACACGTGCACGTTAGAATGGTCATAAAGAAATAAGTCTTAACTCAGTTAAACATTATTGGGAGACAGTCATCCCATAATAGGTTACCTTTTTCAAAATGATCAAATACTGGGGTTATTGTTTGAGGTCCTTTAACAACAGAGCTACTTTTGTCACACACCTTGCTCACTGTAATAACAAAAAGGAATGGAACAAAACATCTTCTGACACTATTCCATCTAATATCTGGAAATTTAAAAGTGTTCGCTTCAGATGAGTGTCACTAAGCAGGTTGTCAAATAATGTTGGGATGTGTAAGTAGGCCTGTGCCGGGTACCCAAGTACTCGGGTACCCCCCCGTCGATATCAAAACCTGGTTCCATTTATTTAGGCTGGGTAGACAAAAATGTGTAAATATACGTGAACTTTATTAGTGAAGGGCAGAAATACTGAAAAATCACTGTGCCCCTGAAAAACCTGATCCTGCGGTTGAAACTGCGATTCAGAGATCGACGGAGCTGGTTTCGTCACACAACTCGCTCATTGTAATAACAAACCTGTAAAACCCAGGCCGAAAGAATTTCAATCTTAATGAGGTGGCCATGTACACTTTCATGACTGTAACTTACAAACCCTGTCAGCCTATAAAGACTTTATTATGGGACCAGTGGAACACAGCAGCAGTACTGCGGAATGTAGCAATCAAGCACAAACTGTGCAGTTCACCAGCCTTTTATCATTATATGGTAACCAACACACTGAATGTACTAAAAACATGTATACACGAAAGAGCTGGAGAACTAGTTCAGTTTTTGATACCAATAAAGTTGGATGCTGTAGTCATTATCACTTTTAGTATCAAAATTGTTTTCAAATTCAAGCGAAATTAACTTCCTCAGTGATTCAGCAGAACTGTGGATGACAATTGAACAAAAATGTAGGAAGGATGTTTAGTTCACAAAAGCAATGCAGAGTTGAAGATTTCTTTTCTCTGTGGTTTTTGGCCTGCCATAAAAGGAGAAATGGTTTCTTCATTCAAATAACAGAAATAAAAATAGAAATTTGTCCAAAAAAGATAATTTTTCTTTAAAAGCACACTTTATCTGCTGTTGAAAGGCCACAATGAAGTATTTACATAATAAAGTCTTGAAAATACAAACCTCGGGGAAATGATAAAAAATTCCAGAAGTCCTTAATATTTCTTTTCTATTGAAATAAACCACTTAATTGCAGTGCCTTTGTGTGGCTAAACTTTCGTAAGGCTTAGTCTATGGACTTTATTCATGGGGCTGGCCATATTGAATTTGAAAGCAAGGTTAACTCTTCATTTTGGAATGTTGTTAGTACAAGTGAAGCAATAAAATGAGATTTCATGGCAACCTTCCTCCTTTCTACTCTAATGAATAATTTCAAATCCATAATTGAACACATAGAATTGTACATCACCAGATTAAGAACGTTATTGAAAGGGAGGTTTGAAATGCACGGAAGAATAAAACAGTCTGGTGACATCCTAATCGACAGTTTGCAATATATCAAACAGATTTGGGGAATAAGATCAAAAATCTGTTGCGTTTACAGCAAACGCCCTGCACACGGTCATCTCTTTTCCACTTAGGTTTTCCTATGTGGGGTCACATGGCCATTCCTTTTGCAGTCACATGGCCGCTGCCGAGTCAGCAATTGGACTTCCTGCAAGGGGGCTACAATTGGGTCTGCGTTTTCACACACTATCATATCCAACACTCACAGATTATGCATGGTAAGGATCTCCTGATATTTTGTGCTATATTTACCTCAGTAGCTCTGATGTAATACCAAACGATACCCCCAGGTAATCCAACTTCTCTGCAGGACGTTCACTCAGCTTGGACAGCAATGGAGGAAGGTTTTTCCTCGGCCCAATCACCTCTTCTAACAAATCAACCTCCTGAGAAATAAAAATTAGCTCTGTGTTTCCTATAATTTGGCACTTAATTTTCAAACATTTCAGTAAAAAAGGAACAAATTGAATAAGGTTTTGGTCACATGAGTCACGCAGCTATTCTGTGCAATCTCAGACTTCCACGTGGCTGAAGATTCTTCCAAATCAAAGTTTATACACATACTGTATGCCATTTACAAGAGTTGGTTAACCACTTCCTACCGGACGACCCATTTTTGAGTACATAGGCTTTATTCACGAAGCTGGGGAGCCCGAAAACGGACAAAAGAGTTGGGCCTTGTAACAAAAGACCAGGCTGCTGGGCATTACCGACATTTTTTCACAGTCAATAGTGGAGATAATCCAGTCTTGTTTTGAAACCGTATACTACGGTTTGGGCCATTTAGAGCGAGCGGATTATCATTGGGGACAAAAGCGCTCCACAACCGCACACAGCACTGCTGCATGCTAATCTGGCCCCAATTGAAAAGAGGTCTGCAGGCCTGGCTGAAATACTCGGGTGTCAATAGATTTTGTCCGTCAGACTAGAGTGGCCACCAGACAGTTCTTCATGTGGGTGTAAGTGTCCAGTAAATGAAGTTGAAGGAATTTTTAAAGAATTTGGAAAACAGAAAAAAAATGATAATTATCCAGCCCGAGCATCATCAACACTGATAACTGCCACAGGCGCGAAGTGGTTAACCATGCATCTTAACCATGCATCTTGACCATGTGCATTGTTGGAAAAAAAAGTGGTTGGGGCATTTGATGGGTTGGGCACAGACGATCAGCAGCTTCTCATGTGACCTTCTGAGAATTTTTTCTTTTTTCTTATTTTAAAAGCATTTTCCACATAGCTCCTGAACAAAAGCAATAAAAGCTAGGATGAGATGGCATTATCGAAAGTCACATGACACACCTTGATATCGTTGATAAACTCCTCCCACACCTGTAAGTTGTATAATGCCCAGGTATAATTGATACTTGTGCATAATATGTAGTTAGTTTTAGCATCCTTTACTAAATGTGTGAGAAAAAACAGACAGACAGACGGACGGACGGATAGACAGACAGAATACACAGTAATTTTAGCTAAAGAAATCCAATATGCTAAACTTAATTGACCTAGGGTGAAGAGAGAAACGTACCTCACTCTGCACAGTATTTAACTCAGTGGGTGCTGAAGAATTCTCCCCTAGACTGGGAAACTGACCCTCATAGTACCTCTGCAGAAGCTTCAAGGCCCTGGATCCATAACCCATCTACACACAATGACAGTCTATCATGAACATTGACATGACTAGTCACAATCACGATGGTCAATTAGCTCAATGAAATGCACCATGACATCAACCTGAATATGTGCATCCCCATGGTTACTTGCAACTTGAAAAATGCCATCAAAATCTGTTTATGAAGATTATGTCATTACATCTTCAACAAAAATGTAGAATACATTTCTGATTTTTACTTTGAAAAGTGAATTTCAAAGGGTCAATTTTAAACAAGTCCTGCATTGATGGCATGAGATTTCAACACTGTTGGTATAACAAGTGGAGCAAGATTGATTTCATAATGCTTTTGAAAGAATGCAAATGACACACCACAATATGACAGGTGTAATGTGACTACACGATGGTCTACATATGGATATGGTTCACATAAGTACTTAATCTCTCTTCTTCCTTCACACTGAAAATGGACCGTTTACTCTAGCTGAATAGCATGAAGCAACATACTCAATCAGATTACTTGGTTAAACCAGATGGAACATATCATGCACTTACCCCTTGGTAGTCAGGGTGTGTTGCTATGCGTACCACTCGAGCACCCGATAAAGTGGGAAAATCATTGTCTTGAAACTGAAAGATAAAATTTTAAGGCAGTGAATGACATCCAAAAATAATCAAATATCTCTGCCGTTGGTTAAGTCAATGCCATCATTTTCTTGATTTTCTTCATTTGAGTGAATTCTCCTGGTGCTGCCTCAGGGTCATTATGTTCGTTTCCTTCTGTGAAGAGGGGAACATTTTGAGTATTTTATTACTGAAAAAGCTAATTTGCCGGGTCTTTTATTTCAAGTTTACAGAAGGTAATTGCTAATGCCTAAACCCCTTTCTTGGGCCAAGACTATGCAAGATGAGATGTTGCCAAGTTCTTATTTATTTCATTTGGGTTTTTTTTTCGGTTTTTTTCAACTTTTGCGAACTCACATGAAAGTTTCAAGACACAATGTTTCAAAGGTACAAACTGGGTTCTGTTATGAGATCAAAGACTTTGTTTCACGAAACCATGCTTTAACACTTTCTCTCTTTGACAGATGTTTACCTGTTGTTGGATGGTCCATGGAATCAGGTCTCCTGAAGCTCGCTTGCCTCGGGATAAGCTGGACATGATACTTTGCTTGGAGATTTGGCCTTCCAAGCACACCTTGTACACAAAATCACACATTAAATTCAGACAAAAAAAACCTAAGAGAGCATGACGACAATGCTACTTTCTATGACTGTGGGGGTTACGTCTAGTAGTTATGGCCAAATGTACCAGTTTTTGCTCACATTGTAACCCTAAATAAATGCAGTATACTCCAGTTTCATACCGAGAAGAATTTGACCTTTCACTGAGACATGGACGACTGGTGTACATGTAACACTCACCTGAAGCACACAGAGTATTTCAGGCAGTGCATTCTGTGTAGGATCCACTGGTCCCAGAAGGCAGAAGATGTGATGAGCTGGTGCATCTGATAGAAGCTGTAAATCGTTGGGTGTGTTCTAACAACAGAAAAACCAACAATATCATGGATTGAAGGTATACGAGGGTACCGGAAATTCATTCATCTTTGCAATAAGGCTGTGCACACCTATTGGCATGTAGTAAAAGCAATTTGCCATTAACATCTGACTGAGGTTTCTGCATCATCTGTATCATACATGTGTATATAAAGTTAAACTTCTCTTGTGAAAGTTACATGCACATGAATATCATTATCCTTGATCAACTTTCAAGTACCACTTTTAATTTATCTCAAATTTACACGTAAAGTAACAGCAAGCTGTAAATTAATCAGGAGACTCCAGGTCACAATGCCGTATCTGTTCAAAGTACAATACAACTACGGCAAACTGCAGCTTAAATACAAGTCCATGGATATTCTGTGACGAAGTACATGCAACACTAGCCTTCATGTCCCGATTCTCATAAGAAAGACTGTGAAATTTGTTTACCATACGATGTCAAATGTAAGAATTCAGAAAACTTTCAAGCACAAATTTTCCGAGAATTAAGGTTAAATGTCAATAAAGTCACAGCCTAACATCACCAGAACACATACATGTAAATATTAAATTAATGGAGCACTAATTCGTTATTCCTAGCATGGAGAAACAATGGTGCCTGCTGGGCTTGGATATTTTGAACTCAAGCGCATATTTGTAGAACGTCATGAAAACAAAAAGAAATAGGACAGAAAAAAAAGAATGTATTTGAAATACGAGCAAGTACATTAGAAAATAGCATATATCCTGTTTTCTGTCATTCAATTTGTCATTTAATATGGATGCATTTTCATTGTTTAGGGTGACCTATACTACACACTCTTTCCTGATTGTGCATTTAGGTTTTTGACTCATCAGCTTTGTTGGCACATCATTTTAGAATATAACCACAGATATGCAACTAGCCACACAAAAGCTGTGCAAATTTCCGCAAGTTTTCCCAGCAAGTTCCTACACATGTCCACGTACCTAGGAGGCTTCACTTTGCACAGTGACATGGTGTTCCAGTAATTATATATAGCTTTATGGTAAAACACAATGCAAGGAACTACCAAGAGACTGACAATCAACAACAGAGGGAGCTATCCTGATGGTTCTACTATACCTTATAGTGTGCTGCTACATAGATAGACATCAGACGTTGAAGAAATACCTCAGAGGCTTTGTGGAAACTGAACAATGTATCTCGGTTGATGTAGTATGTGTGGATTCGTCAAGAAAAACAAGTGCTTTAACTTTAATAATGTTAAAAATACACTTTTTTTTTCGGCAAAGACAGCCACATACATAGAAACCCAAAGTAGGAAATTACCCTTAGGTATACAAGCAATGCAATCCTGAGTAGCATTACAGCTGAAATAACACTATCAATTGATTTGAGTCAGACATTCCAATTACTGAGTTAGAACATTCCAAAAACCCTTTATTGGGAAGGTAAATAAAAGATTGCCTGCCACTGGCAGTAGAAAATAAAAGGCAAAATATTTCAAAATGACTGAGGGCCATGTCAGGTGAAAAAGCAAGGACATTAATATAAATTTGCATTCTGCAAATTCTGCTCCTTCAAAGAAAAAACATAGCCTGCTGCCAGCAAGTCCAAACACTAGACACTGGGTTGTCAGTGAGACTTTCATGGTCATATATCCATGACTTAGAATGGTTTACACATCACTCATGATTATCCCATCCTTTGATGCGCATGTACCAGTCACTTAATATTCTGTTAGCCAAACCTGTAAACAATGAAAAGGGTTTCATTCAGAACTAAGACGCAGGGGCCAATTTCATCGAGCTGCTTAAGCACAAAATTTGCTTAAGCGCGAAAATAACCTTACTTGATAAGTCAGGTAACTGGCCAAAATTCCATGTGATGTATATTCTTTTGGGATTGTATTTGGCTGTTTTTTGGTTAGCATGACAATCAGATAGAGTTTGAGCAGGTAACCTTTGTTTATTAAGCCAAGTTTTTTTCCCGTTTAAGCAAATTTAGTGCTTAAGCAGCTCTTGGATTGGCCCCAGAATGCATACACTGGGACACATAAAGTTACAGGATATAAGTCACAGTCTTGAGGTAGTGGGCATCCCGATGATATCCTTGGTACGTTTGCCACATCTAGGCATAGCATACCATTCAACCATTGCTCTACATCATCTCCAACACTGTATCGGATTGACTCATCTAGGCTAACTTCATGAAGAACACGACCTAAGTGAACAAATGAACAACATGATTGTCAATCATGTATTATGATAGATATCATTTACACAAGAACCATGTTTTGAAAATGAGAAATTCCTCTTTCATAACATGATGCATCCAAACATCTAGAAAGTCACAGTAATGTATGAGATAAATATTCATTTTCAGTGATGATAAGGTCGTTCTCATAGGACTGTTAACTTCACCTGTTTCATCATTTCTATTCAGTTAATTTTTCATTTCAATTTTTCAAATTCTTACAACTTGATGAATACTCCATTTCTAGTCTACTGTAAGTGATCTTAAGACTTTAAAACCCATGTCTTTAAAGGCGTTTCAGGAAGCTAGTGATTACAGCATTCCTGCTTTGTCAAAATGAATGTTGACCATGTTACCTGTGGCTGATGACCCAGCCTCTGAGCTACTCCTCGCTTCTGTCTTACTACTGGAACCACCTGTTGCATTCTGCTGTCTGAGTTGCTGAATCAATTTCAAGGAGAGAGAGCGGCCTGTCCCTTCATACCTATACAAAATAAATTATCCAATCAAATGGAGAGGAAACAAAAATTAACCAACTGTACTGTGTGCCTCAAAAAAGGTTCCACAGTGCTTCATGGCCTTCTCATGAAAACGTTCCTCGTCTTCTATATTTTGTGTCGAGTTTTAAAAGAGCATTTATCAGTCAATGAAGCATACATGTCTCAATAATCTGGGTTGTTGATTTCTGCTTGACTGTACATCTAAATCTTGCCTGACTAAAATCCCTATCTGTACACAGTACTTGCATGGGTTCTAAAAAACTGGCTTCATAAAAATCTTTTATCATACTTCATTCTCAAATAATAACACGAACAAAGCAGTTTATCATGCTGCATATTCTAATAATCAATCTACCCATTAACGGTTGAAGACATGAACACAAGGTATGGTCCTAGTAGTTCCTTGACCAGAGGCAGTGGGATTGCTGCAGCCTCATCTATCACTACCAGCTCTGCTTGTCCTAGCTTGACTGCATCACCAGGATGAATGTACTGTGAACAAAACATGAACAATACAATGCCATTAAAACCAAGGGTTTTTAGGATGGCATTGCTACATGTTCTGGGGCATACCTACATGCACTACAACCATCAAACATGAGTTAAAATTGCTGTTAGGTTGATGGCACATGGGACAATATTGCAGTTTTTTTCTCCGAGAGAGCAAAGATTACGCAGCAGAATTAAACATGCATTCGTAAATGTACGAAGTACCAACTTGTCATAGATGGCGTTTAGTACAATTCTGGAAAACAGTGTACATGTACAAGAATTTTTGAAGGGAAAACTATTTCATTTGAGCAGATCAAACATGGTCAATTGTTAACCTGTATTGTTTGCCTGTGTTCTCTGTAAATGTTGACTCTTATGATGGCTTTGTTGAATTCAGGGTTTGTCGACTGGACCAACTCATAGTCAAGATGTTCCTACAAACAAATAAAAATGCCATGAAATAACTTTATGCCAATCACTTCACAGGTCAAGTCAAACTGCAAGTTGCTATGTACACATTAACCCAAAATCCAAACCTTTGATAAACTTCATTCAATGCTCTGATTATGATGACCCCGCTACAGTATTTGTTACTAAATGGAGCATTTCTATGTGATAAATTCCTCGGATTTACCAGGATTAATACTTGCTGTACTATTGGATACTACACGATAACAATAAAGGCTGTCAATTATGTTTAGCCGTTTGCACCTTGTTTACAATGGCAGCATCAGGCTAGTATACTCCACAAGGAGCTGAGGTGGTTTCAGGAATGTTCAGATGATGTGAGCAATGTGCAAGGATAATAAATCGGCACCCTTGAATTGCAGATACTGGTCACCTTATAAATGCTTTGATATTATTATTATTAAGATGCAGCAGGTCAAAGGTCACTGTATGCCCCACTCTCAAAGATTAGTGTTAACAAGACTTCAGACTGTCATTTAACACAAACGCTCAAAAAAAAAACAAACCCTTAACACTTCCATGAGGAGATTTTGGAAGATTAAGTAAGAGTGACTGTTATAATGTATAAGGCATAATTGCCTGTTTAGTTTAACTACTGATAATAAGCATGGTATGTGACCAACCGTCCCCAAACCAGGCTGAAGTAGGTAACTTCATAACCCTAAAATAGTGGAACTTCCACGGTTCAGATTTTCATGGGAGCTTTACAGCCATCAGTACCCGTACGAGGCTTTCTGCAGACAGAATTTAGATTTGACATGGATCACTTTGAAGTGTAGAAAAAGCTGAAGGAGAGGAATTGTCCAACATCACAAATACCGACTTCTGTTTGGTTTGGGATGGTGGGTCAAATATTACTTGTTTCCTGCACAGTACATGGAATGGGCTTTGGAAGATTCAGGAAGTTTCCTTGTAAAAACGCACAATGGTGATTCAAAATATCCAATCACCTACCTGATAATCTAGTGCATCAAACCCTTTGAAGACAAACTCAAAGAGTGTTCGTAGATTCTCAGGGCTGGGAGCAGTCACAAAAATGTTGGAATACCTGTTGAGTTAAATTAAAACAGAACAACTGCTGCTGTAAAAGGGTACCAAACTGGACAAAACAGCAGGTTCGTTAACAGCTGTGATGCTCATGAATCAGTATGGAATATTGGTATCCAAAGCCCATTGATACCTTTTTTTCTCTGCTGAGGACATTTCAGCTTGTAACTTTCAGTAAAGCAGCCCAAAGTTCTTGGGAACATACATCTGAGAGGCTTCAACTTTGAACAGAGAATTATAATGGTATGTCAGAGAACAGCTCATGAAACCTACACAACTACAAGGGCTGGTTTTACTTTCTGTTATCACACTTGCTGTTTTCACACTTATGTATAGTATGTACATATACTGCTGATTCCTTACATACTAAGCCTGTTCGATATGACGAAATTTCACGATACTTTGATATGATGTTGATATCGCATATATAATATCATTTGCAAAAACACATATCGGGATAATGTGCAAATCGATATGCCAAAAATTATCGTGATAAGCTCCAAACGATGTACTGAACATGTACATGAGGAAGTCAAATGCACCACATGTTGAGCCCTGAATGCATTACTTTTAGGCCACACAAATACTCCCCAAAAACTACCACTGAAAACCTCAAAGCACAAAGTCACAGTTGGCCCGAAGAAGTTGCAAGGGTCTTGAAAGTATTAGGGGGCAGAACCAAACAACAGACTGTACATGTAATGTATTTTACTCCAGCTAAGTTGGTTCTCTCTCTCGGGACTCAAGATCGTCACAAATATATTACTGTGCCTACACGCTGTACACGGCCGTTTCCCAATACTCAACTTCTTCTCCATCTCAGGCTTTGTCTCCAAAACCGACTCCCGACTGTGGGCCTGATGTGTTTCAATTAAATTATAGAACTGTAATGTTTGGCTCTTTTGCATCTTACTTGATGTTTTGTGCCACTATAAAACTTGCTATTGTGCTTACAACTTCAAAGTCAGGTAGTAAAAACGGTTGAAGCCTGAACGGGGACAAAGTCGAGTATTGGAAAAAGGCCTACATGTTAAGTTTGTTCAATAAGGTGACCTTTAAAATGGTCAGAGCACATGCGTGTTGCCCGAGAGGGGTCCCTGGTATTGATGTACAAGACCACGTGCATGCATCAGTTGGGCAGTGTGGGGATTGTTGCCTGACGCTTTTAGGCTATTGCAGCGAAGGCAACCAAAACCAAAGTGCGATATTTTTAATGCCGACTTACAAGAAGGATTTTTTGTGGTCTTGTAGAAAAGGTACGAAGCAAAACATGCCAATTTATGAGAAATAAATGATGACTTATAGAAATGAGGCGAGGGCATCAATACCAGTAGCTCCCCACGCATGTGCTCTGTACATTTTTGGGGTTGCCTTATTGAGCGAACTTTACTGCCAATGGGGGAAATGGCCTTTTCCGTACGGTGCCATGATATGACACATGATAATTTAATGTCCACAATTTCCATGTTGATATTTGCTTTTCACCAGCATATAAGAGTTTTAAATGTAGAGATAAAACACATGTAAAAAGGCCTGTACATCTTTTTTTTTTTTTACGTGGCCCCGAGACATGGTGAGTTAAGTCGTGTTTTGATGTCACCACGATAATATCGGATATCGCGATATGAAAAGAAATGAATACCAAACAGGCTTATTATATACCATATCAGAATGAATTACGAAGAAGCCTAGTTCTAACTACACGTATCCAGAGCCATAAAACGCTGTGTCTACATGTTCCATGTACATGTACCTACCCAAATGCCACAGCAGTAGCCATAGCCAAGCCCAGAGCCGCAGACTTGCCTCTCCCTCTTGCTGCCGTCATGCAAACAGTGCTACGCAGAGTCTTCTCTGAGATAGCCTCTACAAACTTTAGCAATGCTTTGGCTTGGTCCAGTGTCTTGGTACGGTTGACAAGCACCCCCACTGGCTGTGTGTCTTGCAATGATGCTTTCAAGTCTTTCAATTCTGCTTCACTTGGACTCAAAGTGTCATCCTGTCATCCCATGTAAAAGAAAAGTGTACAAGTTCAAATACAGTCAGCACTAATCAAATCTTTACTGTGCTAGGTTCAATAGGATGTTATTAGGTTTCCCTGTAGCTTTTAAATACAGCACAAGCAGGATTATACTGGACACTTGTAGTAAAAAGTTAAAGAGCAACTCAAAGGAAAACATGCTTTCTCTTATCTTATCTGGTCAAATAAATATGGAAGCATCCAAATCGAACGCAGTGTCGTTTGCCTTCAGAGCTCAACTATAACAAGCTCAAAAGGGCTGAAGCCACAATTAGGAATACTCTTTTCCGTATTTCATTTTCCAGTATCAGTTTTCAAGTCAATATCCTCGTCTTACATATAGCAGTGATCCGAGAAGTGTCATTGTCCATGTGTCCATCACTTCGCCTGGTACAGTGCACACCTTTTAAAAAAATTCTAATGCATAAAACTGTGAGCAGAATTTGCGCTGACCAGTTCAAACTGCGACAGAGCAGTCAAGAAATGTTTGCACCGGTCTGGATGGCCAGTGATAAAAAAGTAATGGGGGAATCCTAGGCCATCCCCTTCTAGCGGGAGACTTTGAGACACTTGACCTAATGTGTGCATGCTAAGAATAACAAACAATTCTTTAGAAGAGATAAACGTAATCACAAACATAATTCACAAACAATTCACAAACATTTCTTTATCTAACAAAAACAATTTTTAGATGTGTACTTTCCCCATATGGATCAGTAAAAGTCAATTTTTGATACTTTGTCAGTTGATACAAGATCTGCCACCAAAATCTCCTTATGTAAGTTTCCAAAACTTCTAAAAGAGTGACTGTGGTTATTTGAAACACAAATGTATGCCTTTGGGCCTTATTAAAATGATCCTTTTAGAATAATACGGCAGACTGTGTACGTTTTGTGGATACCCACTGAGTGCAAATTAACCACTTCCTGCGGGGATTCCGGTTTCGGATACCATGTGTTTACATGTATACGCATGGCCGGGGTCTCTGAAATCGGACAAAGTGAACTGGGCCGTGTAACAAAAGACTGTACTCGGAACAAAAGATCAGGTTGCTGGGCGTTACCGACATTTTTTCACTCTCAATAGTGGAGTTAATCCAACCTTATTTTGAAACAGTATGCCACGGTTTGAGGCATTTAGTGTGAGCGGATTACCACCGGGGACAAAAGCTTTCCACCACCGCAGCGATGAGCCACACAGCACCGCTGCACACTAATCTGGCCCTACTGAAAAGAGGTCAGCAGCGCACTGTGCCAGTTTCATGAACAAAAGAAAGTTATATAACACCGCACGCTGTATATCATTTTTAATTTTCTCGCTGTTTTTTTACGGTTGATATTTTTGATGGAATCGAATGACATTTGCAACTGCAGACTTCGAGACCCAATAATTTGTGAAACATGTTTTTAATATAGGTAAATATTATCATCATTTAGCACTTTCACATCTGTTTAAAAATTACCTTGGGAATAATTACGTCCGATTACTTTCATACGACTAGGCTTTACAGGTTGTTCATGTCTGTCCAAGATGCTGATGTTTGACATGTTGAAATATTAATCAGCTCTGATTAGTTGCAAGATGGGAACAGTCATCAGTGTTCCAGATATCAGCCATGACTCCCCTCAGTTCATCAGACATTGTGGCTTAATGCGTTGTTGTTGCATGTATCTTCTGGAAAAATCCTCCCCTGCCCCTGAAGTTCACTGTTATCAAATGGCTTATATTTTGTAGAACATGTCATATCCAAAGTTATTCTTTGGTTATGTTAGACAAACATTTTTCTACCTTAGGACTTGGACTTTTGACCTACATGTACATGTAAGGGGCCTAAAAATTAAGAGCTTCTGCTGGAGATCAAGACTAACTCGCTTACATACCGAGTTTGAAGTATACATGTACCTGTACATGTCAGATCCTTTGTAAGCTGAGAAAAGTAACTGCTTACAGGCATTCTAATATAGCATGTGAGTGTTGCATACTCTGATGTGGGTCTTTCCATGAGGTTGGGGCACAATTTGTGATGGTGAGTTCTGTATAAATGAACAGCTACATGTATTTGCCTACATGTGGATTCCAAATTATACATCTTGCAAGGCTGAATACAGAGGTGTGCGTTATTTTTGCAGAGTAAATGCCCTACTCAACAGGTCATGCCAGGTGGTAAAAGTTACCCATGTAACAAGGACACTGTCACAAATTGCGCCCCAACCTCATGGAATGACCCATGTCCCTGTAGTGTGAATATTCCCTTGTTTTCACTAGGTATGAAATCTTGGTGACAATCATCTAATTTTATGAAGACCCTTTTAAGCAGGATATTCATTCTTAGTTTTGTGGATAGTTCTTCTTTTGCAACAGATATCCTTTACCCCCAAATGCCCTTAAACCTTTTATTCAGTGGGTTCAACCTTTTGTGGACGCTGACAAATCCACACAACATCTTCATAACCTGTGTTATGTTGACTTCTTTAATTCCCAGGTTTGCAACATGTACGTGTACAATCACACACCCAGGCAAGCACATGGGTACGTACCGACAAGGCAAAATACAGAATTCCCACTCGGCCTTTAATTGCCAGTGGCCATAAAAGAAATGAACTGAATGTGCTGTGAAACAATTGAGGCAATCTGCCATGTGAGTGCCCACTGAAACCTTCACTGATCAAAAGTGAGGCAACTCTATGTCAGGATTTTACATCTCAGAAAGATAAATCACAGCCTCTATAAAAAGAGAATTTCTACGTGTGCTGTATAAAACCAATCTTTCACGTTTGCAGTAATTGTGACAGGTGGAACGTTAAGACTTGAAGCTATGTATGGATGAAGTGCTAAATTAGGTTAGGCTTTCGGTTGCACCATGTACAAGAAAATATCTCTTTTAATGAGTGTGTTGTTCTGAGAAGAACCGATGGTGAACACCGATGGAGTCACCCTCCTGAAGAAGAACAGAGCACACTGGTCGAAACGTTAAGTACATGTACGCATTCATCAGTTCTTGTGAGAACTACAACTCTTCCAAAAGAGACCAGAACTATCCACATGGTGTCACCTCAAGCCCTCTCTTTAGTCTATTTCTCACCATGCAAAGCTTCAAAGTTTATCTATTCAAATCCACTCGGATTCAAATCAATACAATAAACACTCGTAATCATTACAGTAATGACTCAAATTCAAAATCTGGTTACCATGCAGACACAAGTACCAAATCTCCACATGATCTACATTTGAGGATGAACTTCCAATGTGGACTTACCATCGTCTTTGGAGGTACCGGTTGAATGGACAGGATATGAGAGGACAGGGGTAGAATGTTGAGCTTATCATCGATGACCATACAACGTTTACATGTTGCAAGGGATAAGAGAAACCTGCAACATCAATAAGAATAACATTCTATGTCAAAGATTTTACATCCCTGGACTAAAACAAATGAACGTGCAGCCTGCATTACCACACCAGTGGAAGATAGAACAGTTTAACTCTTATTCATAAATGCCTCAGTTTCCCTATGCAAAAATGTGCAACGCAACCGTGAATTAACGTTTGATAATGCCCACTGTGTGAAAAAAAGCGCTGGCACCTGGATCAAGACAGTTTTAATCCATGCCTATTGGTCAAGAGTCTGTGTGCGCCGTGGCAATCAGAACTTGCCACACACATGGAATATACCATAAAATGGAAGGGTTGTCTGAGAAAATGAATGTAAAATTCTTGAACAAAATCCTTGGAAATTCATCATATATCGACTTCTTTTAACTCTCTGACTAAAATGGTACACATATTCATGAATAGGACTAAAATAAGCCTGTTTGGTCTTAAATGCAAGTTTAACCCATTGACGACGGGAATTTTTTTCCGAAAGCCGATTCCAAGAATTCCAGCCTCGCTTGGCCACAAAGGCCACCTGCAAAACTGCAAATTCTCAGTTTGTGGCCCTGTGTGCTCTGCACGCTTTGAATTACACAGTGAAAAGGCTCATTGTTTGGTGGCATGCGGCTCTACTCACGCTTCCACATTCCCGTTGCCTCTTTTCAAAGTGGGGACTATTGTGAAACTGGTGATTATGATGCAAATTCGGCCTTTTAATTTCTTGGCAACACACAAAGGCCAATCACCATATATACAAGAGCCAGGGTCTGCCTTCTTTCACCGTGTTCGCTCCAGCGTGGGCCGAGAATAATAGCTGAAAAGCGGGCTGAGGATCTCAATTTTTACGGTGCCACTCTTACCGTCTCCCGGCACGAAGGGGTTTAAGACCGGCCAAGCATAAATGTAGTCACTTATGAATTTAGAAGCATGGACACCTAAAAGATGTAGCTCAACGCTGGATGACATTTTTCTGCAATACATGTATGTCTCAGATGGTAGAGTATACCCATTGATACCCACAGAGACAAGGTCTCACCTTTTAAACTGTGCAATTAAAACTCGATGTGAGAAAAGTTTGTTGTTTAGGGGGTCTGGCAGACTCAAAAGAAAAAAAAAAGTCTGAGTTATATTTTTCCATTCCATACAAGTGTCATGCAGTACGTGGGAGTCGGAGTACCTATGACTGTTTGCTCCTTTAGCATGTGCACAATAATGTAGGGCTCCAAGCCTACTGGTCTCAGCGTCGTTGTGTTTTCTGACAGCGACGCTAGTGATCGATCGGTTTTTCCCAATCCTATGATGAGAATAATCTTGTCAACGACTTCAGCAACACTGAAGCGGTTTTGCCTTCAACCAAGTTCAGATGCCATCAACAATGCGACTTCCAGCAATGCTGGTATTGTCCGGGGACGGAAGATGCCATCAACAATGCGGTTTCCAGCAATGCTGGTATTGTCCGCGGAGGACAGGAGGGGACAGCAGAGCACCGGCAGTGTGTTTTATTATTATCATTTTTATTTATTTAAAAATAAAAACGTCGCAGCCGTCTAGTGTACATGATGAGTACTAAGCTGACATTTACTTGGGTGAAAACAAGACCAAACCTTTCATTAAATCTGCCTACGACATCTTGGTGTGACTCTGTGCGATACCGCGAATGAACATCCATGGAGAGTGTGTACAGCTGCTTCAGGGATGCCATTGTGCGAAGCAGTATCACTATAATACCGCCACCCTCTACGGTCTCAACGGTGCGGGCCAAGAGGTTGGGGGTCATAGCCTCAAAGTCCTACAAACACAAAACCAACAAACAGAAATGCAAAATTCCATTACAGGATTCAGATTGTGCTAGAAAATGCACAACGAGAAATGTCTTTACAAATAAAAGCTCTGTAAAAAGCTGGGTATTCCATTCCCTTGACAGTACACAGCATGTGGGCTCATTTGAGTCTCAAACTTGATACTCTGAGTGTAGAAAATGGTCCAAAGTTTACATTTCTGCTGTCTTAAAATATCTAGGTGATGCATATCTGGTCTGATTAGAAGTACACTTACTGCAAGTCCCGTACTTCTGTACTCTATGCACTCAGAAGCATTCTCACGTTAACACAAAAACACACTCAAATACATGTAAGGCCATTACATGTATGCTTCACAGAATTACTGTATTTTAAAGTCTAGATTGTATTCAACTACTAGTGACTCACACTACAGCACACGCACACTTACCTTACCTACACTACCTACATGTATATGTAGAGTGGACAGTCCTTTCTTTTCGCGCAGTTAAGAAAACTTGGTGAAAATAAACCTTTTTCTTGAACCGGGAACACAATTTTCAGCTGGTTTTGTACAAGGTTTCCTTTACTATTTCTCTTCCTTTTACGACAGATGACCCTTACCCCAAAATGCCTCTAAACATGTTTTTCAGAGAAGGGGAAACATCCTGTGGACGTGTGTACGTCCACAGAACGTCTTCCTTTCCTGCATCATGTGGACATCTTTTGTTCACAAGTCCACACTAAGTGCATGTATGTAAGCTTAACGCATTGACACGGCTGAGCAACAACACTTGAGACTTGACCCTCGCTATCTACTGACTGGACCCAAGTCTCCAAATTCAGTGGCTCTTTACAATACATTTGAACCCTCCTTTGGTTTAACTGCACAAATATGCACGAGTGCCCACAGTCACTCTCTTGCATGTGTTTTCAATATGGAACT